TGGTGGCATCAACTGGGACCCCCTTCAGCTCCTGCGTCACAGCACGCCATGGTGCCAAGCCTGTACCCATGCCAGCCATGATCACAGGCTTCTGAGGCTGCTTGAGAAGCAAGTCACATCCCCCACTGCTATTGTGAGTTTGAAAGATACTTGTGGGATGATAAATTTGCTGCAGCGGTTCTTGAAGAACCCTTGGTTGATTGCACGAATGAGGCCTAACAGTTTGGGGTCCAATGCCCCCCTCCGGTATGTGATGAGCTGAACATACCCTGTATGATTCCAGCTCAACATCCTGAGTCAGTGTCAAAGAGAAGCATTTGCAAAAAAGGCCAGGGATAGCACGTATATAATTCTGTATAATACAGTAGCTAAAACTACAGCAATATTGAGGGTACCCCCAAATCATCCACCTTTAATAGGATTTTCCATTATAAATCATCCAGCCATTGGGGTACGGGTACCCCCATTTTAGAAAACCCCCATATGATATTGAAAACACTCGTAACCCGCCCATGTTTCCCCGGCACGTTGTTTCTTCCAGTCCTTGGGAAGCACAATGGCACTGGAGCGCACGGCGCACATGATCTGGGCGCCGGGCTTCTGCATCTGCATGTAGCCTGGCAGCGAAACCAGGTATCAAACCAGGGGTCCTAAATCTGCGGAAGTTATGGGTAAGTAATTACCTTAAAATGGCTGGTTGACGGATAGTTGCTAATGATAGGATTTGACTTTTGACCCATCGCAAAGTAAGCCTTACTATTCCAGCCCTTGCCGAAGGGCCTGTGCATTCACCCAATCGAAGCTCCTTGGTGGTCTCCACTGTCCAGTCAACCAGCACCACGCAGAGCTGGATCTTGTCCGGATGCATCAAAGGAGAGCTGGCAATGGAGTAGCTCCTGGGTTTCAACACCGGCATCATCTGCAACAAGTGCTCAATGGGAGGTCGGGCGCTTGCAAACTTCTGCAGCACATCTGCATGGTGTGCAAAGTCTTGGGTCAGGTCGCGATAGAGGGCGGCTCCCTCCTTGCTGTTCTCGACAATGCTTTGCAGCTGCTTCTTTTCACCCTCATCCTTTGCAAAGAGCGCAAGAGTCTGGTAGAACTTTCGGTTCGGCTTTCCGAAAATATCAAGCACATGGGAGAAAAGCTGTCGTACACTCAGCTCCGTGGGGCACCAGTTGCGGGCTCCTTCCAAAGGAAGGACTCTCAGGTTCTGCGCAGGGTCAAAGCCCATCATCTGACAGAATTCCAAGACCTTGTCTTCTGGGTTGCGTGGCCAGATGGCCAGACTTTCACCAGTCTTGTAAGATACGTTGGTGCCCTCGATCTTAAATTCATAGTGACGAATGTCTCGATCATACTTGGCATCACCAGTCAGCACGTTGTTCGTGAGCAAAGTGAGTCGGTTGGCACCAGGTGGGATGATGTCGTCGTCACTCACAGGTGGCTTTCCCAGAGTACCTGGAGAGGCATCAACTCTGTAGGATGGGGCTGGAATGTCCTGGCTCAGTGGAAGGGCTGGGGCTCCGAGGACCTTCCAAAGCTCTGGCAACCAGGCTTCCCATCCAGTGTAGTAGCGATCCTCATCACGGTCGTCTCCCACACCGCGCTTGAGCATGCGCTGACCACCAAGCTCACCCAAGCGCGTATCAAAGCCTGCTGCAGCCACACAGAACTGGCTGTAGGTTGAGTCGCCCAAGCCAAAGACGCAGAACTTCACACCTGACAGCCAAGACATTGGCAAGTCTGCCGACTGCAGCTTCAGCCAAGTCTGCTTGCAGTTGGCTGGGTACTCTCCCAATCCACAGGTGGAGACGACCAAAATCATGATCTTCTGATTGGGCAGCTCCTCAAATTCAAAGTCATCCAGCGAGCTCACCGTCGCCTTCAAACCACGAGCAATCAAATCTTGCATCAGATTTTTAGCCTGCTCCTCGGCATTGCCACTCTCACTGCCGTACAGCACAGTGATTGAATCTCCAGAGCTCTTGGCATCTGAAAGGCCTTCCACCAGCTTGCTGAATTGCCCTTCCAAATCCTCTTTGTTCAAAACCTGAAGCAAATGGTTCTTCTGAACCAGGTTCTCTTGCAACTTGTTGTCAAGCTCCTCTGCATGCTTAGGATCGCGACGCATCACTGCTGCAAAGCGGTTCTCCTGCGGGTTCAGGGGGTAACATGTTTGCAAGAAAATCCCCGTGGGGTGCACCCCACCCGGAGCCAAGGTTTTCCGCCAGAAAACGGGCAGAATCCCTAGTAACCAAGGTTCATGTGACCAGGGGCTGAAAAGGGGTACCTTACATTTGGGATATTTTTAAGATAAAGGCTGCCCCAACGGGAAAAACCTAGGTCCCAACATATCAACATAAAACCCAACAAAAGGCCAAAAACCGAAGGTGCTACAAAAGCACCTTTTTCTTGTTCCCCACGACCCCGCTCCCACACCATGGTTTAACCGAGCTTTGTCACTCCGCAATCTAGGCCCACCTCCACCCCGGAGTGCTGACAGTTTCTGACTTCAACCCCATTTGAGTCTACAACCAAGATCCCAGCCCCCAGGTTTTTAGTCCGCTATTCAATCTTGTGGGGGAGAACAAAAATTTTATCGACTCATCATGGTTGCTCTAGATTTGTTTGACACAAGATACACAAGGAAAAGTCTTAGCCCACGGCCCTAAGGTTTTCACTCCAAAGTCTGCGCCCACCTCCACCCCGGAGTGCTGACAGCTTCTGACTTCAACCCAATTTGAATCTACAACCAAGATCTTTCAACATCTCTAACGCATCCTACGATTTCTAATCTTGCATCATCATGGTCATCATCATCATCATCATCATCATCATCATCATCATCATCATCATCTGGGTCGAAAACGTGGGCACAACATGTTGGACTAGTTGTCCTCTAAAGACGAAAAACCTGGGTCACCACAATACCATGAATTTTTATAATCACCATGTTCCCGGGCTAAAAACCTAGAACCGTAAGATATAGGATACAAAAAAAAAGGCTGAAAACATGGGGCACTAGATATCATATATAATAGTAGCAGTAGTAGTAGTTCTTGTAGTTGTTGTTGTTGTTGTTGTAGTAGTAGTAGTAGCAGCAGCAGCAGTAGTAGTAGTAGTATGACAACATATTTTCCTACTTAAGGGGGTATCGCTCTTCAAGGCTCCCTATCGCTCCCCACAGGAAATCACATATTTTTGAAAGTGACGGCGGCCGAATACTAAATCTGTACATACCATCTTTTGACCCTTGCTCATATGTTGATATAAAGCTGGATAGGTTCTTCGCCCTTGTCATTGGGCGAAAATCATGGGTCTCCGGGCTATGGTTTTCAGCCAGGGACCCCCAACGGGGATCAAGAAAAGACATTCTTCGAGGCTTGAGACAAGCTAAACAGTCCGAAGATCCAGTCGTTGCATGCATATGGCATATGGACAAGAGATTGCTGCAGTGACTTCTACTTTCTCCGACAGACATCATCCCTTTCAGCCAGGTCCTTGGCAAGGAACTTGAACAGATCGCCCTTGATCTTGCGGCTATCGAGCTGGAACGGATTGTTGCCATGTGCTGCCAACTCTGGGTTGTATCGGTAAAGAGGCCAGTAGCCGCTGTCCACTGCCATCTGGCAGTGCTGAATGGACTCGGCCATAGGGAAACCTTGACTGATGCATGGGCTGTATGCAAGGATGATGCTTGGTCCCGGATAGGCGTCAGCCTCAATCATAGCGCGGACTGCTTGCTGTGGGTTGACATGAACGCAAATGCTGGCCACGTAGACGTTCTTGTAGGTCATGGCCAACTGTCCCATGTCCTTCTTCTGCGTCAGCTTTCCACCCTCAGCGAACTTTGCCATGGCTCCCTTTGGTGTTGCTTTGGATGCCTGTCCACCAGTGTTGCTGTACATCTCCGTGTCAAGCACCAAGATGTTCACATGTTCCTCACTGGCAATGACGTGGTCCAAGCCACCATAGCCGATGTCGTAGGCCCAGCCGTCTCCGCCAACAATCCAGAAGCTGCTGCGGCCGAACATGTCTTCCCTCAGCAGTGGCAGTACTGAAACAGCATGAAATAAAGAAACACATGGCCAGCATAGGAACAGTCAATCCCAAAACATGCTAAAGCAGGCAAAACGACCGTAGACACAGGGACTTGTGAAAGGTACGGATCTGAACAAATCCCAAGCCTAGCTGAGATCTGTTTTGAAACTGCACGTCGTGGTTCCTAATGAAGCTAAGATGCAAATCGTACAAGTTGTGGATCTTTGGGTGATCACCCTTCTCCTGCCACACGACAAGCCCTCCCACTGAAGCGGCTATTGCATAAAAACGCTGCGAATCCAGAACCACTGGCAACAGGATAAGGCTGAGAGAACCCGAACATTAAATACCTTCACCGAATCAAAATAGCTGCCAAACCCATGACATCCTTGGGTGTTCCATCAATAGTTGGCAATTTTTGTTGGAGCCTCGAATTGGAAGGAAAACCTTGGGGATAGGATGTGTCAAGCAAAAGACTTGACTGTAAGAACACCCGTGTCATGGAAAAAGGAGATGATCTGATGATGATATCATCAAATGATCATTCAGTATTGTCAATGATGATCTGGCTCTGGTTCACACGGTCAAGGGAAAGGTTGAAGGGAAAACATACAGAAAATAATCAGAAAATCATGGTTCAACCCAATCAAAACATCAGGAGGGACCAACCCCATGAGACAGGTGAGACTTCCACTCACCTAGTTTCCTCTACCCCTAGTTTCCTTCTCGAGCAATGGCACAAGTTTCTCCATGATCTGGTGGTAGATACCTGCAACAGTTCATGCAATGGAACAAACAGCCATGCTACATGCTTTGCAAACTTGGAAGCCCACAAATCAAGGTCCCCAAACAAAATTAAAGGACCGGATAACCCCACAAGTCAACTTCTTCCAATAATGTGAATGGAAATGAAAGAGGCCGAAAGAAGGAAGCAATTGAACATGCCAGACAAAGTGTAGTATGTGTAGTGGTGGTTGTAGTGGAGTTGTGTGTGACAAAATTGTGTGTGACAAAGTTGTGTGTGACAAAGTTGTGTGTGACAAAGTTGTGTGGGAAAGATGGTGCGTATGACCGCATCTTTGAATGCAAATGACCAATCTAACTTGACTGACTAGTTGTAGTTGTGGTTGTAGTGGAGTTGTGTGAAAAAGTTGTGTGTGTGACAAAGTTGTGTGTGACAGAGCTGTGTGGGAAAGATGGTGCGTGACAAAGTTGTGGGTGAAAGATGGTGTAGATGGTGTGTGACAAAGTTGTGTGTGAAAGATGGTGTGTGAGATTGTACCACGCCTGCCACATGAAACGACTAAACCGTCCCAAAAGCTTGACACAGTGCCATGAATGCCACGCCTGCCACGCAAGACGATGGTAGATGTGAGTTTGTGCCACGCCTGCCACTCAAAACGACGGTACATGTGAGCTTGTGCCGCGCCTGCCACGCAAAGTGCCGCGGCGTCACGGGCGACTAAACCAAGACCAAGCACGCCACCCAGTGCCATCAGTGCCACGCCGCGCCTGCCACGCAAGACGATGGTAGATGTGAGTTTGTGCCACGCCTGCCACGCAAAACGATGGTAGATGTGAGTTTGTGCCGCGCCTGCCACGCAAAGTGCCGCGGCGTCACGGGCGACTAAACCAAGACCAAGCGCGCCACCCAGTGCCATCAGTGCCACGGCTGCCACGCAAAACGATGGTAGATGTGAGTTTGTGCCACGCCTGCCACGCAAGACGACGGTAGATGTGAGTTTGTGCCGCGCCTGCCACGCAAAGTGCCGCGGCGTCACGGGCGACTAAAAAGACCAAGCGCGCGCCACCCAGTGCCATCAGTGCCACGCCTGCCACGCAAAACGATGGTAGATGTGAGTTTGTGCCACCCCTGCGCCACGCAAAACGATGGTAGATGTGAGTTTGTGCCACGCCTGCCAAGTTTGTGCCGCGCCTGCCACGCAAAGTGCCGCGGCGTCACGGGCGACTAAACCAAGACCAAGCGCGCCACCCAGTGCCATCTGTGCCACGCCTGCCACGCAAAACGATGGTAGATGTGAGTTTGTGCCACGCCTGCCACGCAAAACGACGGCAGATGAGTTTGTGCCGCGCCTTCCACGCAAAGTGCCGCCGCGTCACGGGCGACGAAACCAAGACCAAGCGCGCCACCCAGTGCCATCAGTGCCACCCCTGCCACGACTAAACCAAGACCAAGCGCGCCACCCAGTGCCATCAGTGCCACGGCTGCCACGCAAAACGATGGTAGATGTGAGTTTGTGCCACGCCTGCCACGCAAAAAAAAGGTAGATGTGAGTTTGTGCCACGACTGCCACGGAAAACGACGGTAGATGTGAGTTTGTGCCGCGCCTGCCACGCAAAGTGCCGCGGCGTCACGGGCGACTAAACCAAGACCAAGCGCGTCACCCAGTGCCATCTGTGCCACGCCTGCCACGCAAAACGATGGTAGATGTGAGTTTGTGCCACGCCTGCCACGCAAAACGACGGCAGATGAGTTTGTGCCGCGCCTTCCACGCAAAGTGCCGCCGCGTCACGGGCGACGAAACCAAGACCAAGCGCGCCACCCAGTGCCATCAGTGCCACCCCTGCCACGACTAAACCAAGACCAAGCGCGCCACCCAGTGCCATCAGTGCCACGGCTGCCACGCAAAACGATGGTAGATGTGAGTTTGTGCCACGCCTGCCACGCAAAAAAAAGGTAGATGTGAGTTTGTGCCACGACTGCCACGGAAAACGACGGTAGATGTGAGTTTGTGCCGCGCCTGCCACGCAAAGTGCCGCGGCGTCACGGGCGACTAAACCAAGACCAAGCGCGCCACCCAGTGCCATCAGTGCCACGCCTGCCACGCAAAACGATGGTAGATGTGAGTTTGTGCCACACCTGCCACGCAAGACGACGGTAGATGTGAGTGTGTGCCGCGCCTGCCACGCAAAGTGCCGCGGCGTCACGGGCGACTAAACCAAGACCAAGCGCGCCACCCAGTGCCATCAGTGCCACGCCTGCCACGCAAAACGATGGTAGATGTGAGTTTGTGCCACGCCTGCCACGCAAGACGATGGTAGATGTGAGTTTGTGCCGCGCCTGCCACGCAAAACGACGGTAGATGTGAGTTTGTGCCGCGCCTGCCACGCAAAGTTGTGTGTGTGAAAGATAGTTTGTCACAAAGTTGTATGTGAAAGATCGTGTGTGACAAAGGTGGGTGTGAAAGATGGTGTGTGACAAAGTTGTGTGTGAAAGATGGTGTGTGACAAAGTTGTGTGTGAAAGATGGTGTGTGACAAAGTTGTGTGTGAAAGATAGTGTGTGACAAAGTTGTATGTGAAAGATGCTGTGTGACAAAGTTGTATGTGAAAGATAGTGTGTGACAAAGTTGTATGGGGAAGATGGTGGTTGACAAAGTTGTGTGTGAAAGATGGTGTATGACAAAGTTGTGTGTGAAAGATGGTGTGTGACAAAGTTGTGTGTGAAAGATCGTGTGTGACAAAGTTGTATGTGAAAGATGCTGTGTGACAAAGTTGTATGTGAAAGATAGTGTGTGACAAAGTTGTATGGGGAAGATGGTGGTTGACAAAGTTGTGTGTGAAAGATGGTGTGTGACAAAGTTGTATGTGAAAGATGGTGTGTGACAAAGTTGTGTGTGAAAGATGGTGTGTGACAAAGCCGCGTGTGAAAGATGGTGTGTGACAGGAGGCGGGAGGAGGAGGCGGGAGGAGGCACCCGGGATACAGAATCAAAAACAAGAACCCCACACAAAGATGTGGGGAAAAAATGAGAATAGATGATAAACATGAGGGAAATCATAATCTTTCGTAGATAGATCATCACAAATAATCTATAAATGGTTTGTTTTCTTGGGTTATGTTAAATACCCAGAGACTATTTGCTGGTCACTCTCCACCGTTCTGGTCCTATGTGCCATCAAGGAGCTGCGACCCTTTGGCAAGAGCAAGTCGTGCATGTTCTCCTGCAGTGAAAAGATGCCTTTCAACGCCATTTTCAGGTACCGTATAGATGGAGGTTTCCAAACATGGGGAATAAATGCCAAATCATCCAATTTGAAGAAACCCCCGGATAATGCCTTCTTGTTCCGAACTATTCGATCTGAATTAGGGGGTGTGCCGTAGTTGTAGTACATAAACCTTCAAGAGGTGATCTGTCGATGCTAGCAGTTGGTGCACCATCTCTTACACGCGACCATCTCCATCAACCTGGACACCAAGCGGTTCCCACAGTGGCTATGACCACATCCCATTTTTGGCATCACCTATGAAATACCACAGTTTGCTGGGATGAAGTTCCATCACTGCCATCTTGGCTTCAAACCGCGGGATTTCATGGGCACAGGGCCAAATCCTTGCGCATCACCAAGAACTGGTTCAAGGCTTGTCGAAGTTCATCGGACATCGTCACCGCCTTGTCACCCAAGGTGTCCTGCCGATGGAAGTCGGTCAAAGATACATCCAAAAAGCAAATGACTAGCGGTCAGGTGATGATGTCCAATATATACCATTTATATAATATTTATATAGATATTTCTGGCACTTCAAATGAAATCTCACACTGACATACATTTTCTGCAAATAGATGCGCCATTTCGACGACTTCCAGGCACGCATGGAACTCGCTACTGGAGGCCACACCTCCACTTGCATGGCCAAGTAGTCACGGCGCTGTTTGAAGGCCTGGTTGGAAGGCGGAAATGGGAATAGATGGGATGTCGAAATCTCGGGGAAACGCCGGCCTAGGATTCCCTAGGCCGTTGAGATCTCGATCATTTGGGATATCAATACTATACAATAATAATACATGCATGTCTATCAAAGTTCTGAAAAAGTAATACCGCAACCCATCCGAAGTACCCTCTGGTAATTTGACACTTCTGCTATGAAAAAACATCATGTGTTAATCATCTTAAAACGTAAATTATCGAACTAAATGGATCTAAATGGGCAATCTATGCCATAGCAGTCCAACACCTGTCACATTCCAGCGGCCTTGCGCATGCCGAAGCCGAACTCGGCGTTGTCTTCGAAGAGCGAGTTGGCCCAGGCAGGGCCCTCGCCCTTCGTGTTGGTCGTGTAGGGGAAGGATGGGTTGGAGCCACCCCAGATGGAGGAGCAGCCTGCCAGGGGAAAACTGAAAAAGGTCATATGTCATGAAAGGTCACATAAACATACATAAACTTCGAAAATGCAACTTGAAACTGGAAATTGCTGGGAAAAGCTCATCAATTGCCACACTTTGTCCGGCAAGGGCCTGTCGCATTGGCAATCACCAGTCGATCACCGAAAAGCTGAGTCATGAGCTTCACATGAGGAGTCTCACCACATCCTTCACAGGCCCCGCTGAACTCGAGATACGGCTTCTGGAACTGGGAGCCCTTCACGGTGGTCTTGTCAATTTCATCACCACGATCTGGGAGGGTCACTGCGAAGTTCCAATTGGCTTCCTCTTCCTGAATGACCTTCTCTGCAGGTCCCAAGGTCAATGCATCAGCAGGGCAAATGCGGACGCACAACTCACAGCCTGTGCAATCCCATGGGGAGACCTGGATGCGGTACTGGTAGTTGTCCAAGACACCACCTCCAATTGCGGAACGGCTGCCATCCTTGAAAGCTGCTGGTGCCTTTGCGAGCTCTTGTCCGGTGGCCAGGAATGGTCGCACTGCCGCATGGGGGCAGATGAGACTGCACTTGTTGCACTGAGTGCACTTGTCCATGTCAACCTTGGGCACGTTGATGGCAATACCACGTTTCTCGTACTGACTTGTACCACATGGCACTCGGCCACCGGGCACGAAGGCACTCACAGGAAGTGCATTGCCATCGAGGTTGTTGCAGGGCGACTGGACTTGCTTCGCAAACTGCTCTGCATCTTGCACCTCTGGGAACATCCTTGGCCCCTTGCCATAAGCAACCTTCTGCTTCTGCGCATCGGTGGCCTGCAACAAACGACCCGAAACCTTTGTCTGCTACGGGCACACATTGGGATGGTATCAAAGTTGGGTGTTGTATAGATTCCTGTAGAATCACCACCGGATTAATCCCTTTATTGGGAAGGGACCTATCTAAATCTCAGCTACATATCTCCCATCCCCCCAACCCCAACCCCAACCCCCACTGTCGAGTTGCCTCAGAGCCAAGGTCCAGAGATGCCCAGGCTGCAGGGATGTCCACCTGCACGATGCCCTCAATGGAGGCATCCACGCCATCGATGTTCATCTTCACCACCTTGTCGCCCTGCACAGTGAATCAGGGCCCCGGCAAAGCTGGTTGATCACAAATTGCTGAGGTAAAGCTAAGGTTCAACATACCTAGAAAAAATGAGGTCAGAGAACAAAACTTCACCAGTGGGTGCATAAGTTGTGTGGCGTTCAATGTTGGCATTGCCCATGTTCTTTCTTCCTCGCAATGCTTGCAAAACCTTGTTGCAAGTCTCATGAAATATGTTGATATTGTTCAATCATACATCTTAATAGGATTTTCCATTACAACCATCCAGCTATTGGGGATCCCCCATGTATGGAAGCCCCCAGTCAATTTTTGAACCATCAGGCGGTGACACTCGGCCTTCTTGCCGTACATCTTCTTGATGCTCTTCTTCAACATCTCCACAGCCTCTTCATAAGGCATCACTGCACCTCAGACCGCGAGGTCATGCACCAGGCCGAGCAAGATGATGCAGAATACAGGAAGGGACCGACAGTTAGAATATAAAAAACGAAGTGAACGTAGATAGTAATGATATGGAGGTTTCCTAAAATGGTGGTACCCCCAAATCATCCATTTTAATAGGATTTTCCATCATATACCTACCATTTTTGGATACCCCCATGTATGGAAACCCCCATATGGAATAATGGTCATTTTTCACTCAAACAGCAGCACGCAATTCTGAAGATTCCAGTATTTTCATCTTGCCAGACAACCGTCTTTGGACCAAGGGGCCAATGTAATATACTGCAGTCTATCAGTTCTGTGTGTCACCATTAGGGCTTGTAAAGCCAAGTGAAAAAAACTACAGCAATCCATAGGCTCCAGCTACAGTGCCTCCCCAAGATCTTTGGCATCTCATGTCCGACCCCAGGACTTCTTCAAGGCGCTGAGCTTGAAGAAGACGGTCTGCATGATCATGTTGATGCGTTTTCCCAGGCCAGCCTGCCAGATCGCCATGGATTCACCCTTAATCGATTCATGATCAACTGGTAATCCACTGGTTCATTGGTGAATTGCCTCCATGAGGACGTCAATTTTCAGGGACCGTAGCCCAAAAAAAAAGACCTAGGATCGTGCTCTTCGGTTTGATCCCCTCTCAATTGACCCCCAAGTGAGGAAACAAAGTGACCAACTCCAATCCTAAACCAAGGCTTTTTTAGGGAGCGTCTAATGATATTTATATGATTTATATGGGTCAAAATTGGCTACCCCAATAATTAGATGGTTAAGACATGTTAAGACTAAGAATAGATTAGAATCTGTGGTCCCGTGGGTCTGACTTTTTGACTCGTCCGTGCCTTCACAGCAATCTTCGTGGCATCAATGATGAAAAGCTTGGCCTGGCGCGGCAGCAGTCATCATGAGCCAATCATCAAATGAAGCACCCTTCGTAAAAATCAACCATGTCAATGAGCTAAAATCTCTTATAAATCGAGGTTTTAATGGGACATTTCGGAAAATCGTCTACAAAAGATTTGAAAAGGTGGATTTTCCATGGTAAATCATCTAAGAAGTGATGCACCCCGCATCAAACGAACCTGTTCTGTGCCAGCTGTTTCACCTCCCTCATCACCATGGCTCGCCTGCTTCTCTGCCAAATCCTTGCGCATTTTGGCTGGCAGTTGCTTCTCCAACTCGCTCTTGTCCCAAGAGCAGTTGATGACGCACACGGCGTTCTGCTTCAAGTAGCGCGTCATGTCCTGGGCAGAATAGGTCGATCCCTTGCTGCAGGATCGACTTTCTGCTGATCTTTAAGGGAAGTGAAGCTACGGTCCGAGGATTGATTTCGGCAAACAACATGGTTTCCTTTTAGATTTTCCTTAAGCCCAACTACTGACACGGAATTTTCAAACTGCATCACTAACAGCTGACTGAGATTGATTTATGTCTTGTGACCTGCTGATGAAGCCAGTTGTTGGACTTCTGTGCATCCAGGCCACATAGCTGTTCACGTAGCTTTGCTTGTGGACAGCCAGGTAGTCTGCGGCGCGCACATTGTAGGGAGCATGGATGGGCTTGGGACCAAAGCGCAAGTGGCTGATGGTCACGCCGCCGCTCTTCTTGGCATCGTACTCGAAGTAGGCCTGGAAGTGCCGAAGTGGATGCAATCTCAAACTTCAACAAAGGTGTGTCCACATTACAGGCGGCAAATTGAAGAGTGCTAGGTCTCAGTGGCTGAATCATTACATAATGAATAGGTTGCTATCTTGAAAGATTTCACGACACAGCAGAAGTCCTGCCTGAGCATGAAGCTGCGTGCCCATCGCAATCATCTTCACCGCGCTCTTGTTGGCACCCACGGTTCCGTCACTTCCGAGTCCATAGAACATACACTCAGTGGTGCCTTCTGGAAGCACATTGAGCCATGGGCCCACTGGCAACGACAGGAAGGTCACGTCATCGTTGATGCCCACAGTGAAGCGTGGTTTGGGGCTCTCCTTGGCTAGATTTTCGTAGATTGAGAGAACCATGTTGGGCGTAAACTCCTTGGAACCAAGCCCATAGCGGCCTCCAACCACCACAATTTCGGAGTGAGCGCTGGCATGCAACATCGAAGACACCTCCAGAAGCAGTGGTTCACCCTGCGAGCCCTGCTCTTTGGTGCGGTCCAGAACGCAAATGCGCTCGGTGGTTGTTGGCAAAGCTGCCAAAAAGCGGGAACTGTCCCAAGGTCGGAAAAGACGAACCTTCAACACCCCCACGCGTTGTCCCTTGTGCTTGGACAAGAAACTGGCAGTCTCTCCGCAAGTCACTGCTGCACTGCCCATAACCACAATCACGTGTTTTGCCTCGGGGTGGCCTTCATAGGCGTAGAGGGCGAAGTGCAAACCAGTCTTCTCTTGAATCATCTTCCCCTTCTCTTCAAAAAGATCAGCCAACCCATCATAGAAGCTGTTGCCAGCCTCCACGCACTGGAAGAAGATGTCAGGCCCTTGCGAAGTGCCCTGCACGTGAGGATGCCGAGGGTTCATGGCCAAATCGTGATGCTCTTTGACAGCCTCCCAATTGATGAAAGTCTTCATGGTGCTGTAGTCAATCAACTTGACTTTGTTCACCTCGTGACTGGTGCGGAAACCATCAAAGAAGTGCTGCACGGGAACTCGGCGTTCCATTGAAACAAGGTGGGCCACAATGGCATTGACCTGTGCCATCCCCACAGATTCTGAAGCCAGCTGCGCCCAGCCCGTTGAACGACAAGCCATGACATCACTGTGATCTCCAAAGATGGACAGCGCCTGTCCTGCCAACGCACGAGCAGCCACGTGCATGACGCAAGGGAGCAACTCACCCGCAATCTTGTACATGTTCGGGATCATCAACAGCAAGCCCTGACCTGAGAGGAACTGTCACGGCACACAGAAGTCACTCCACCTCTAGCCAATTTCAAGGCACAGTCAACTCAGTCAACCTCCTCAGACCACCTCCCCGCATGCCTCTTGTCGCCTCTTTCTTACCAAAGCAGCTACCGCTATCAGCGTACCACCCACAAAAACCTCCACCACCTGACCCCCTGGCCATTCCTGGCCATTCCTGGCCATTCCTGGCCATCCCTGGCCGCTTTCAAGGCCCAAGTTGCTGGCGGTGAAAGTGGTGCTGAAGGCGCCTGCCTTCAAGGCACCGTGCAAGGCGCCAGCGGCACCAGCTTCACTCTGCATCTCGGTGACGCTCAGCTTCTGGCCGTAGCAGTTGATGAGGCCTGGCACCATGCCCACACATGGTGGCGAAGAAAAATGGACATTGATTTTTCCCCAACAGTGTAAGCTAATGGGGTCTTCAGCCCCGGTGCAGGTGCCGGGTCAGGTTCAACGAGGTTCCGGAGAAGGTTCCGACGGTTCCGGAGAAGGTCTGGGAGGCTTTGGCGCAAAGCCAGGTCAGGTTCAACAGGGTTCCGGAGAAGGTTCCGGAGAAGGTCTGGGAGGGTTTGGTGCAGTGTGGGGCCAGGTTCCACAGGGTTTCGGAGAAGGTTCCGGAGAAGGTTCCAGGAAGCCTTGGTGCAAAGCCAAGTCAAGTTCAACAGGGTTCCGGAAGAGGTTCCGGAGAAGGGCTTTGGTGCAGAGCCAGGTCAGGTTCAACAGGGTTCCGGAGAAGGTTCCGGGAGGCCTTGGTTCAGAGCCAGGTCAGGCTTCCGAAGAAGGTTCCGAGGAGAAGGTTTGGGAGGCTTTGGTGCAGAGTCAGGTCAAGTTCAACAGGGTTCCGGAAAGGTTCCGGAGAAGGTTCCAAGAAGCCTTGGTGCAAAGCCAAGTCAGGTTTAACTGGTTCCGGGGAAGGTTGCAGAAGCCAAGCCAGGTCAGGTTCATTTAACTCACGGAAACCCAGCTGAAGTTTTTTCCAGCGCTTGGCTCCGCAGCACGCTTCAACTAGACGACGGATGGCCCGAAAGCGTAGAGGAGCAGAGTCTTCTGTTGTTAGTATGGAGACACGCTTTGTACACACAGACTCTTTTACACATAGACGCTTTTACACACAGACCCTTTTACACACAGACGCTTTTACACACAGACGCTTTTACACACAAACGCTTTCTACACACAGGGGCTTTTACACACAGACGCTTTGACACACAAACGCTTTTACACACAGAAGCTTTTACACACAGACGCTTTTACACACAGACGCTTTTACACACAGACGCTTTTACACACAGACGCTTTTTACACACAGGCTCTTTTACACACAGACGCTTTTACACACAGACGCTTTTTACACACAGGCTCTTTTACACACAGAGACTTTTACACACAGAGGCGTTTACCCGCAGAGACTTTTACACACAGACGCTTTTACACACAGAGACTTTTACACAAAGGCTTTTACACACAGAGACTTTTACACAGACGCTTTTACACACAGAGACTTTTACACACACAGACGCTTTTACACACAAACGCTTTGACACACAGACGCTTTTACACACAGACGCTTTTACACACAGAGACTTTTACACACACACGCGCTTTTTACACACAGAGACTTTTACACACAGAAGCTTTTACACACAAACACTTTTACACACAAACACTTTTACACACAGACGCTTTTACACACAGACGCTTTTACACACAGAAGCTTTTACACACAGAAGCTTTTACACACAGACGTTTTTTCCCACAGACGCTTTTACACACAGACGCTTTTACACACAAACGCGTTTTACACACAGAAGCTTTACACACAGACGCTTTTACACACAGACGCGTGACACACAGACGCTTTTACACACAGAAGCTTTTACACACAGGACGCTTTTACACACAGACCCTTTTACACACAGACGCTTTTACACACAGCCGCTTTTACACACAGAGCTTTTACACCACAGACGCTTTTACAAACAGACGCTTTGACACACAAGCTTTTACACACAGACGCTTTTACACACAGACACTTTTACACACAGACGCTTTTACACACAGACGCTTTTACACACAGACGCTTTTACACACAGACGCTTTTACACACAGACGCTTTTACACACAGACGCTTTACACACACACACACACAGACTTTTACACACAGACACTTTTACACACAGACGCTTTTACACACTGACGCTTTTACACACAGACGCTTTTACACACAGATGTTTTTAGACACAGACGCTTTTACACACAGACGCTTTTACACACAGAGGATATCACAGAGGCTTTTACACACAGACGCTCTTACACACAGACGCTTTTACACACAGACGCTTTTACACACAGACGCTTTTACACACAGAAGCTTTTACACACAGGAGCTTTTACACACAGACTTTTTTACACACAGACGCTGTTACACACAGACGCTTTTACACACAGACGCTTTTACACACAGACGCTTTTACACACAAACGCTTTTACACACAGACGCTTTTACACACAGACGCTTTTTACACACAGGCGCTTTTACACACAGACAAGTCCGGCACAAGTAAAATCGCAATTTTACCTCAGTTTTTGACGATCGACCCTCATTTCGTGCGAAAGGGTTGCTCCGGCACAAGTAAAATCACAATTTTACCTCAGTTTTGCCGATCGACCCTCATTTCGTGCGAAAGGGTTGCTCCGGGGCAAGGTAAAATCGCAATTGTTACCTCAGTTTTTGACGATCGACCCTCATTTCGTGCGAAAGGGTTGCTCCGGCAAGTAAAATCGCAATTTTACCTTCAATTTTTGACGATCGACCCTCATTTCGTGCGAAAGGGTTGCTTTAGCACAAGTAAAATCGCAATTTTTCCTCAGTTTTTGCCGATCGACCCTCATTTCGTGCGAAAGGGTTGCTCCGGGACAAGTCAAATCGCAATTTTACCTCAGTTTTTGCCGATCGACCCTCATTTCGTGCAAAAGGGTTGACGTTTCGTGACTCGCCGCCGGCACCACCCTCGGCCTTAAGAGAGAAAGATAAAGAAGGCAAGAGGGCAAGAGGGCAAGAGGACAAGAGGAGAAGATGTGAGATGAAAAGATGTGAGAAGATGTGAGAAGATGTGAGAAGATGTGAAGATGTGAGAAGATGTGAGAAGATGTGAGAAGATGTGAGAAGATGTGAGAAGATGTGAGAAGATGTGAGAAGATGTGAGAAGATGTGAGAAGATGTGAGAAGATGTGAGAAGATGTGAAGATGAGAAGATGAGGAGATGAGAAGATGTGAAGATGAGAAGATGAGGAGAAGATGTGAGGATGAGAAGATGTGAAGATGAGAAGATGCGAAGATGAGAAGATGTGAAGATGAGAAGGTGTGAAGATGAGAAGATGTGAAGATGAGAAGATGTGAAGATGAGAAGATGAGGGATGAGGAGAAGATGTGAGGATAAGAAGATGTGAAGATGAGAAGATGTGAAGATGAGAAGATGTGAAGATGAGAAGATGTTTCACAGACCCCCACTATTGGAAGAACCCTGCGCTCAGACGCTCTCGGGAAAAAGTTTTGTAAAAATAAAACGTTGCGGCTGTTGGGGATACCGCCGAAGCTTATTTACAATGTTGCATCAAGAAACGTTGATTCATGATGATCTGCTTGCATATTGTGTGTCTATCTTGGCTTTCAAGTGTCTGTAGCACGCCGCTATGTTTGAGGTGTAAGAGCTGTAGGATGGTTCTGGGGAGCCTTCGCCTCTTCTGAATACGTGTTCATGTCCAGCCCCATGGTTCAGTGTTTCGCTCCCCATGCTTTGGTAGAGCTTGTTTCTTCTCTTTTTTCGATAGCATGGATTTTCTGTCTTGTTCTATTGGCATCTCTCATGACAGAAAGGCCTTTCACATTACCCTTGAATGAAGTAGACAACAACGAATCATCGTGGAACACCATGCCTTTGGCCTCGTACCCTTTATCAGGTCTTATCAGGAACATTTCAACTTTCAACCATTTCATGCACTTACCTGTCATGTGGTGCCGCTGACTGGCTTCAGCATGGGAACCCTGCCTTGCGCGGACCACGCATCCACCATCTCTCCCATGGGAGAACTGGGCGTGATGGGATAAATGAAGGCGCAGTCACTGAAGGCGTAGGCAACGTGAGCTGCGGCCTGGTTCCCATCGATACATGCCACAGATCCCTCAGCGGCTTCGATGATGTCGGTGTCGGCACATTGGTGCACAACGGTCTTGTTCTCTGCCTGGAACATGGCCCTCTGAACCTCCTTGGCCTTCATGAACTGCTCGTACTCAATGTCAGCGGCACCAGACCCTGCTCCAAGTGGCTCCAAACGTTCCACAGTCTCTTCCTGACGCTCCTGACCGCGCATCAGGAACTGAAGGCATAAACCGCCGTATGGGCCAAAAGGGCTGGTCCTAGGTGGCGGCGGTTTCAAAACATGTCAGTCTTGGTGCAAATCTGTTAATTCTGACCTCGTCAGAGGACATTGGATGTTTTGAAAATGTAGGGTGACTCTTCCCTCTTTGGTGTTTTTTCACGGTGGTGCCTGTGCTTGGGGCTGCGTTGCCAACATGACGACCCAGACCCAGTCTGGGCTCTTTGCATGGGATCTCCTTCGGATGCTGCTGCTAAGAGGGATCTTTTGTCTGTCTTTAATCTATAAACGCCACCCTTTTAAGGGGGTGGTAAACATCATTCAACCACCAAGAGATCATGCGTAGTACTCCAAAATGGCGAAGTGTAAGGATAGTTGACTAATGCCATGATCCTGTTTATGTCTTTCGGGGACTTCCCTCGGAACTTTGAGGACTGAACTGTGAGAGCAAGGCACTGTCCACGGAGCGCCATCACTGAATGCAGTGCGCCGGCACGTAGGGGCGACGAGTCGTCAAATGGTCAGCTTTGATCGCAAATGCTGCCACAACCAAGGTATCAATGTCTGGTTTCAAACCTGTTGAGCCTCTACCTTGCCTCACATCAGGAGGGTCCCAAAGCGCTTGAAAGTGGTACACCCCCGAAATCCAACGTGGAACTGCATGCTATTCCTGAGGTCTCCTAACATGAACCTATGGTACGGTCTCAAGTGGATTTTGTTCCCCAGGAAATCATGCAACTAATTTTTTCAATAAAATCACTCAAAAACTGACATGGAACCAAATGCAGGCCCAAACTGAACCCTGAAACGGCCAACATGGAATTTGAACAAGTTGTCACAAAGCGATCTGCAACCTTGAAGGATGATTTGAAGGTTAACCTGGAACCCAAGTGGTTTTTCAGGCGTTTTCCTTCAAAACTCCATGTTAGTGACTTTCGGGCGACCCTACTTTTCACTTCGTATTGCGCTCACATTTTAATAACTATTCAGGTTCCACGTGTGTGGTGGGGAAAGAACTGAAACCAAAACACCTCCAAGAAAAGGTCGTGACTTATTTTTGGATATGTGTTGGGTTCCGTGTTCGTCGCACAACCTTCCAAAGTAAGCCGCAACAGACAGAAGACCTGACAGCGAAGAGAAAAAAAACAAGCGACATGAAAGGATAACAAATATCAGCAAACATCAGCAAACTAAGAAAGAGATGGAAAGAGCAACAAGGAGCAAAAGAAAGACAAAATGGGGGAGGTCACCATGGGAAAGGTACCATGGGGGTCCATGTTGGCTTCCATGTTGGGTTCCAGCCGGGGTATGGGGGAGGTCACCATCCATGTTGGGTTGGCCATGCAACATCGTTTTCAACCAGTTTTTTCTTTAGCAATTTGCGAACCATATCTATACATATTATATGGACATACATAATGTTGGGTTCCATGTTGGCTTCCATGTTGGTTTCCAGCTTTCAGGGTATGGGGGAAGTCACCATGGGAAAGGCACCATGTCACCATGGGAAAGATACCGTGGGGGTCCATGTTGGGTTCCATGTTGGCTTCCATGTTGGTTTCCAGCTTTCAGGGTATGGGGGAGGTCACCATGGGAAAGGTACCATGGGGCGGAAGCTCCGGGCGGGGCCTCCGGGCGCCAAAGCCATGGGGACACTTACCGGGTTCCAAGTTAGATTTCACGTTGACCCAGCGGGAGACACTTGCTAACAGGGGAAGCTCTGGGCGGGGCCTCCGGGCGCCAAAAGGTATTTGTGTAACGTTTTAAATATTAAAAACTGATATTATGTAATTTCTTTACTTTTTGGATTTTTAAATTTGGAAATGTGCTTCAATGTAAATTGACATATGATATATTGAAAGGCTAAAAATATACAAATATAATGTCCAAAACTACACGTTTAGCATCGTTTAGCTGACTTTTTCGAAAAAGACTAACTTCCAACTATATAACACGGACCTTCCATGGAAACCAACATGGACCCCCATGGTACCTTTCCCATGGTGACCTCCCCCATACCCTGAAAGCTGGAAACCGGGTCGAAGTCCTCGAGCAAATGTCTCCCGCTGGGTCAATGTAGAATCTAACTTGGAGCCCGGTAAGTCTCCCCATGGCTTTTGCGCCCGGAGGCCCCGCCAGGAGCTTCCCCTGTTGGGCCGAAGTCCTCGAGCAAGTGTCTCCCGCTGGGCCAACGTGGAACCTAACTTGGAGCCCGCTAAGTGTCCCCATGGCTTTGGCGCCCGGAGGTTCTGGCCGGAGGTCCTCCCAACGGGAAGGCTACAATGAGAAAATGAAAAATGTTACGTTTATGGTGGGTAAATGGGAAAAAGTATCTGTATAACATATCAAAAATTGACAATGAATATATAGTTTGAATATATGTTTTTGTTTATTCTTTATGTTTTGAATATGTTTTCGATGTGTTTGCAAGATGTGTTGAGGATATGTTTTTGTTTTTCGTGTGTGTGTGCGTGTGTGTTTTGACATGTACTGTATGTGTTTAAATTTGTCTTCAGAACTTGTACTTTGGAATTTATCTTGGACAAAATGACTCAACCACCACAAACAGCATAATGGTTCCGAATTCCCCGTGTCAGCCGCCATGCCTAACATGGAACTCTTGGATAAGCACTCTCTGGCAGCTTGTGGGGTTCTATCTTAGTATGCCATGCAGCCAAAACTGGCTAAGGGATCAAAAAAAAAAACAAATAAGGATCAAAAAACAAAATCGAGGGATCAAAAAAAAAAACAAATAAGGATCAAAAAAAACAAATAAGGATCAAAAAAAACAAATAAGGACGATCGTAGTGAAAATCGTCAAGAAACTGCGGAAAGGGAGGATCAAAAAAAAAACAAATGGGAATACATATGAATAAAAACGAAAGAGAGTAGATAGCAAGGGAAGTCGATTAAAAAATAAAAGCGGGTGGGGGGGTGCAGGGGGGAGGGCGCAGCGCCTCCCCCCGCAATGCGTACCAAGAAAGAAGCACACAGGCTCAAGTCTCGATGGATATAATTAAAGATTAAGAAAGAGAAGATAAACCCAAAGAAACGATACCTATGAAAAAATGAAAGAGAGCAGGTAGCAAGGGAAGCTGATTAAAAAATAAAAGCGGGTGGGGGGGTGCAGGGGGGAAGGCGCAGCGCCTCCCCCCGCAATGCCTCCCCCCGCAAAGCGTCACATGGTCATGATACATTTCGCAATGTAGATGGGCCTTATCATCCACCTTTGTTGCGCTGTCACAGCATACAGCGGATTACAGCGGCAGCAGTAGTACCGTAACACTAAACGTAGCAGTTGGTGGGCCATACCATTCACCTTTTTGTGGCAACAAAGGCTTGGCCAGAGCTAGTTTGCGCGCTTTGCCGGGCCTCTGGCCGGCACATACATTTCCAGGAACAGGTCACGTAGTGCTTGCATGTTGTCTGGTCGAGTGTTCGTCCACGATGTGTCATAATACTTGTAAGTGTGTTTCTCCGATCTTGCAAAAAACAAATAAGTTCAAATAAGGATCAAAAAACAAATAAGGATCAAAACAAAAACGAAATCGAGGGAAGGAAGGAAGGAAGGAAGGAAGGAAGAAAGTAGTTGTAGTAGTAGTAGTAGTAGTACTAGTAGTAGTAGCAGTAGTAGTAGTAGTACTAGTAGTACTAGTCCTAGTACTAGTAGTAGTACTAGTAGTACTAGTACTAGTAGTACTAGTACTAGTAGTACTAGTAGTACTAGTAGTACTAGTAGTAGTAGTAGTAGTAGTAGTAGTAGTAGTAGTAGTACTAGTAGTACTAGTAGTAGTAGTAGTACTAGTAGTACTAGTAGTACTAGTAGTACTAGTAGTACTAGTAGTACTAGTAGTTCTAGTAGTACTAGTAGTACTAGTAGTACTAGTAGTACTAGTAGTACTAGTAGTACTAGTAGTACTAGTAGTACTAGTAGTACTAGTAGTACTAGTAGTACTAGTAGTACTAGTAGTACTAGTAGTAGCAGTACTAGTAGTAGTAGTACTAGTAGTAGTAGTAGTACTAGTAGTAGCAGTAGTACTAGTAGTAGCAGCAAGAATGAAAACATTGTATATAAAAAATAAACCCAAATAAACGATGCTTGCGAAGAAAAAGAAATAAAGTAGGTAGCAAGGGAAGCTGATTAAAAAATAAAAGCGGGTGGGGGGGTGCAGGGGGGAGGGCTGAAGAGGGGCCCTAGCGTCTACTTCAAGATCAGCTAAGGCGTCTTCCCCAATGACAGCACTTGTTTTACTCAGCCTGTTGCCGGTCCGTGCTGGTCTACAGGGTTACTCTATATACCTCTTGAGCCTTGAAGGGCGCATATAAATGTGCTCAATACTCATGTATGTACCTATGTAGGTATTAGGTCGAAACAAAAACACAGGCACAAATTCAAAAGCAATGAGTAGAGCACTACGCCTTGCCGTACCCAATTGGTATTAAGAGTATCTTCCTGACTTCTCTACACAATGGCAAATAGCAAAAGAAACCGGAGTTACGCAGTGGCTTCGAATTGAAACACATGAAAGCAGCGAATGTCCTAAGGACATGTCGAAAAAGAACAGCGGATTCGCTAATTTTTCCAGTAGTGACCAATGGTGCTTCGCGCACGGTCTCTCCATAGGCAAAATGCCTCGCTCTACCGGTGAAGGTTCGAATTGAAAAGTTCGGGTTTGCAAGATTCAGAAATTCAGGTCATACGAAAAACAATTGACCAAATCACGAAATAAACGGAAATAGCGGATCTCCAAAGTTGCTCATTCAAGCAAACAATGGACTGAAATCGAAGTTGGTAATTTTTGGAGTTCGCTCCATTCGGAGTGGTCTGCTCGCCGGATGGTTCATGGAGATAAATGTGTATAGTATCTCTATTTACAAGAGTCTCTATTTTACATTAAATTGAAGTTCAGACACTTGTGGCATTATCTCTATCTAAAAGAGTATATGCCATCTGTGTGAAATAAGTTGATGCACAGAAAACTGTACACTGCCTCTCATGCTGTGTTATCTTCATTTAAAGAAGTGTACACTCACTTATAGCCAAAAGCTTGTTCTCCATGGTCTGGACGAAGAAGATGAGGATCCACCCCAACTAGCGTTGCCCTGATACGTTGATGCTTGATCTTCATATGCCTTTCTCTTTTTCTCCTTCTGTCTTTCCTTCCTTGTATCTGAATACTGCTTCTTCTTGAAAGAATGTTTGTAATGATGTCGTTCATTCCACGACATATCAGAAGGATCAAGATGGATAAGAATTGGATTATGAGCATCACGATCATTTGGGGCAACCATGAAGATGTTGTGATCACCATGTAAGCAAGTTTCATTTACCTTGAAGTAAAATTCACCCACATAGTTCATGTGATCTTCGTCTTCGTAGTCTTCAAGGTGTTCCTGACACATCAAACGTGAATGACCCCACTCAACAACTGTTAACATACAACAATCACCTTTCCCATTTGTCTTGTTCATGAGCTCGTCGGTGTATGTTGCTGTTGTAATGCCATCCAAGTGT